TCTCGAATAGTCAGCTTGAGATGCGGACGAACGGGTTGGAAATTCAAACGCAAGACACCAAGCACCATAGCCAGCAACAGAGACTGAATGACGGCACCAAGAAGAGAGATGGACGAATGGACAGCTCAGCAGGACCTACAACTGAGGCGACCAAGCTTGAAGCCGACCTAGACAACCTGAATGGGACAACATTTCTCGCTGTTCCTGGGATAACCTCGTCAGCTCAGGAGATCATGTTGAGACTCAAGGCCCGGGCTCTAGGTAAATTGTGGAGCCGAACAGCAAATAACCTGTCGTGTCCAAATGAAACATGTTCAAGGTCGGACAGAACTCACCTGATTCACGTCTTGTGGACATGCCCACATGCCAAGAGATTGTGGGGTTACCTAATCAGAGAATGGGAATGCTTCGGTGTCAGCTTTCAAGGCAAGCCTTTAGAAGCAATCTTCGCACTTTGACTACCCACTTCTCCAGCTCGATTGGCGCTCGCAATGGACCAACAGCTCAGTGATCTGTCTGTGGAGGAAGCAACAACCTTGTTGGCCAACATGGTGTGGCAATATATGTGCGTGGTGTGTGTAGCGGCTGTCTGGCACAACCGAATCCCGGTCATGTGCAGTAATCCCTTAGAACGCGACAATCCGGAGACGCTTTTGAGAATAACAATGGCTCGCCTATCAGCGGGACTCCGGGACCATGCATCTCTTCGACACGCTATGCCCTAAGACGACGGACTCAGCAGCCGGAGTACTCAAGGCGATCGTTGCTATGATCACGAACAAAGCGGATCCTTCAGCAATCCCTCTACCCAGCATGGACTCGGCATACCTCCTCTTCTTCGACGGAGGGTCAAGAGGCAACCCTGGTCCAGGCGGTTCGGGTTCGGTACTGGTGCGCATAACTCGCGAGGTCTCGACCCCTACGATGATCTGGTTCGCGTCTATGGCTTATGGTCATCCAACTACCACGAACAACAACGCAGAATATGCAAGCCTGTATCATGGACTTTGCTACGCAGTGTCACACGGATGCTCGTCGCTCTACGTGATCGGAGACAGCTCAATGATCATCGGACAGATGCGAGATCATTGGCCTCCAAAAAAGCACACCTTCTGGCGTAGTTATACTCAATGCTAGCTCAAGATTCGCAAGGTGCAGGTCGTTGGCTGGTGCCATCACCCAAGGGCATACAACAAAATGGCAGATCGCGCAGCAAATTTCGCAATAAATTCATGTCGATCGCAGCAATGCGAAGCAAGCACCTCTCACCTAAACTGGGAGGCCATTGCGGAATACCTCAACCAAGACCTACAATACTAGCTCCAAGTGTTCGGTTGCAGGTCTCAGCTGTCTTGGACGGAACACCGTTCTTGAGAAGCTAGAACTCGGGACTTCTTCCGAGAACCCAGCCGTCGAGCCGCAAAAGGCGGCTGAACGCCGGCTCCCTCCTTGTCGAAACGCGTAATAACGTAGTGTAGCTAGGAGAGAGGATATCGTCGTTCATCTACATGTAACACAATGTACCTGACCTTTATCATCATCACCGTAAAAAAAACAAGGATCGTTTTAGGTACGTTGCGCTTCTTTGCTTTCAAATAAACCAAAGTTTTGCTTTAGCGATTACGAAATTTATATTTTTACCGCCTAGATCTTTATATAACGCACAAAACCCACGAATTTTGTTAGACCAACACACCTCCACCTGTTCTAAAATTGATTGTGATAATGCATCAATGGAGTCTTGTGTTATGTCGCTACAAAAGCTTCATACGTACGTACACCTTGTATCCCGTTATCGTCTTTTACCAAAACAAAAACCCATCAGGGGCGCGACTTTCCCGATCACAGACCATTTTGGTCACAGGTAGCAACAGACCAACCTGGTCGCAAAATATACCACTTTTGTCCAAGATCTGAATTTATAACCACACCTCATTGTAAGCTATTACAGCTACTACCGTTGGAAAGGCTCCTCTTTTGCCCTGCACACGTTTGATTTAAATTTGACAAGCATTCACCGGGCCAATTCTTCGTCCTTAACTGCTTATGTAGCACTTGGCCCGACGAGCCGTCCAAAAAGACGCGACGGTATGACCAACGTGTGGACATGCCTTGAAGTTGAAACATCTCTTAGGAATAGTAGGAGTGACTGACCCAATCTCAGCGCACGCCCATCGCTTTTCCAAAAGTCAGCATACTCTTACCATTTTTTTTAATTGAATGCAGACTTTGAGATTTAATGCTCACAACGTCAGCGCTCACCTTGATCTGGAACCCACAGAGGTTGCTTGTTTTTCAAAGCAAACAAACAGGATTGAATGCCTACCGAAGGAGAATGTTAATGAAGTCAACATCAATAACAATCAACTAGACTTGCTTCTATCGACATACTCAGGATGCCATATAAGCGAGAGCGACCATTTTGAAGGTCGTTGGGAGCCATCCACATGTCGACGTGCAAGATGAAAAATGAATACAGTCGGGAATGTCGTAAAATATTTGACTCGCAAAATTAAAGTGCGACGTCGACGTAATTCGGGCACGCGTCCTCTCTTACGATCGTACACAGCTTGTTTCCATGAGTTCACAGGTGCAGCTATCGACCAAGTCTTGAATTTGACATATGGTTTGACCTAAATTTCATGTGGAAAGTGCATGGCGTTGTTTGGGCGCGTTTCTTCTCCCGGGAACGTAGAAACAGACCAGCCGACTGTTTTACCTTGTGCTTACAAGCAGGTAGTCCCAGAAACCCCACAAGCATCTTCTGTTTTTCGCCCCGGTTTCTCTTTGATCACATTCAAATCCTCGTTGGTTTGCGGTAATAAAATCTTTTGTCGGGATGATTGTCTATAAACGAACCCAACTTAGCACCGTTCATAGCGACTTGATCATCCCCATACGAATATAATTTTGTGCGATCATCAATAGGCCGATTGAAGCCATAGTATCTGGGAGTGTCAGCTCCCTCAACTGGTCTCGAAATTTCCGGATTTGGTATACGATTATTGTTAGTCGATGCATGGCCACCTTCAACGTGCATAGTGCCCTCACCTGTGTCTCGAGATATGTCTTTGAGTTGTTTAGGCGAAGGCGGAGACGATGGTATCTCAGATGTTCCTACCACACCTGGCTCACGTCGTGGAAGTTCTGGTTCCGTTTTCGGATTCTTTGGGTGGGTCTCTACGCCCGCAGTCCTCGTACTTGTTACTGGTGTGGATCCTTCACCAACTGCTTCAGCTTTTTTCTCTGTTGTTGTCGGCTTGACATTTTTAGTGACCTTCGTCTTCTCAATGTCTTTGATAATGGCTGAAGATTTGGCGGAAGGATGCATCTCGCTGATAACGACTGTAGAAGGAGCAAGGGCCGGCTCTGATTTGTTCCGACGACACAAGGTCTTGATTTTGGCCATAAAGCCCTTTAACCACTTAACAACAGACCCAGAATGGACCGGTGCGCCTGGACTGGTGTTAACGTCGGCATCTTTCGTCGATTTGACAGTTTGTGTTACCGGCACTTCTCTCGTTGCTTTAAAGTCTTTTGGAGCTTCGAAGTTTTTCACGGCTGCTTGCACTTTTTCGATATTCACGCCTGTTGATGTCGCACCGCCAGCTGTAATTTTGACATTTTTGGCCTGTTTTGCATTAGCAAAGAATGTTCCAAAAGTCCTCGTTCTTTCTTCAGTCTCCATTAATTCAGCAGCGTCCCCAGCTTTTAAATGCCTCTTATCAACTGTACCAACCAGTTTAGACAGAGGACGCTCCAATGGAACGCCCGAAGACGCCACATTAGCAGCAAGGGATGGAATTCCGCTTGCGTGTAGAGTGATAGTAACAAGCAGCGTGGCCAGAAACGGTTGGTGTCGCATGACGAATTGATTGATTCTGTCAAAAGTCTCAATTGGTGTTTGCTAAGTTTGACGAATGTTCGATTGTGAGGCTTTGAAATTGCCAGAAACGATTATTGAAAATCATCACCTTTCGCAGCTTTAGATGGAATGACGTGAAAGCGCATCCTGTTACACACGTAAAAACTGTGTGTATGGGCTTTGCTCATTTCTCTTTCATTTAGATTTGTATCGCTATCAAACAACATATGCATGGACAACAACCCTCAAAAGTTATCGTATCTCCAAGACAGCACATACCAATGTAATCGTTCATATATGTAGAATCTGAGCTTTTTCAAAACTGAAACGACTCCCTTTTGATTTCCAACAACTTTCACATGGTCTGGATACTCTATTCCTGTCGTTTGGTTGTATTGCTAGTTGGCCATTTTGTTATTAAGCCGCTAAAGTATGCCAGACCACAATGCCAGATACCCATTTAATGGACATTGCGAGGACATGAAAAAGGCTGACTAGCCCTACTTTTTGATGTGGTTTTGATAATCAAGAGCATTTGAGGAATACGTATGGCAGAGGGCTGTAATTAGAAAGCGTGACTAAGGTGAAACAGGGTATGACGCTCTTTACCGATCACATTTGCTCGAAGACGATACTGAATACGAAATGGCAAGAGAAGACGACAACCACTCTCTATGTCTGGTAAACTATACAAAAAAGGCGCTTCTACATTCGCCTGAGCTCTCCAGCGGGATATGACACTACGACTACTGCTGATGCTATCACTGTTGCACATTTATGTTGTCCTCACTATCAGTGCGTACTCTAGATACCTACTGGCTCTACTTTGGTATTGCTTATTAGCTGCTATTACCACGGCTTGTTGGGTAGGTGATCAGCACGTCACCTAGGCCAGCAAGTCTTCACTGTGATATACTTGCTCGAGTAGAACACTCAACATTGCATTTTCGTACATGTCATAAGTCAGTATTCTAATGAGACTTTGTAAATTGTATTTTTTTAGTAAGACGCTTTATGCTACAACACGTCGATGTTTGTCCGATATGGTGATCCATTACTTATGCACCTATGTGCCTTACTAATGCCGCTTGCGTTGATAGAAATATTTTCTTCAAAGATATTTCCGCAATTCCTGTGGCGCTAGATGTTAACAAATCAAGAAATTGTGGTGCATAAAGTAGATAAACCAGATTGAAGGTGAATCAAACTTTCGATCAAAATGAAACTATAACAATTTAGGATGTGTGAAATTCAATCAGACATTTTAAAAGGCTAAAATGTACCGGGCTTTGAAAAACATTCCTAATTCTTCCTCTCCTCAGCTGTCTATCTCACCGCCTCGAATACAATGCTACGGTCGTTTGTTCACATTGATCATAACCTTGACGATATAATGCTCATAGTCGTGCTGAGCACGAGGCGTCGGATCCGAACAATTAATCAAATTCTTGCGAGCAATACTCAAGTAAATACGCTTCAGTAAGCTACTTTCTAGGTCCTTCGAGTTGATGAATTAGAAAATATGGTAAACGAGAAAATCTTGCGACGATCAAGGTCAATTGAGACAAGGCAGTGACTTTATTTCGAATGAAATTTTGTAGCCATTGAAAAATACTTCACACGGCACCGCTTCACCAAGCGTCGGTCGACTACATGTTTCACCAAGTGCTATGGTATTACCGAGCAATTTGCGCCGAGAAAGTTTCGATACATAATTGCCATGTGAACAATTCGCAATGTATGAGTTAATACGCTTCACGAAGCATGAAACCGAGAGCCTCTTAAGTGGTTCGCAATTAGTCGGCTCTGTTATTTTAAGAGTACATTTGTTTCATTGAGACTAACACTGAAAATATAAGTTTTACTAATAGTCATAATAAAGCTTTTTTTCTTTTCTGACATATGACTACTTTCAGCGAAATATTAAAAATGTGTCAGGAAAAAGATTTTTTTTTTTAATTTCGTGCGAATAATCATGATAACGTAAAATATACATGAGGACATATGAGTTAATAGGGTTACTCTTCAGATCTTGTCGTAAGTGAAACATGTTCATCACCAATTATTTCTGCTGCACTATAGTCAGGTCAGCTGTTCAGACGGAACCAAAATATACCAGCTGGTTGAGATGCATGGATACAAGATGTCACAATTCAGGATCATCAAATAATTCACTTCCCATCTCATGCGAATTTAATTCCTACCTGCCCTTAACGCCGACCAGTCGTTCAACGATTTTGAGAATTCGATCTAATCATGCTGCCTTTATGTCAGGTATCATCAACTGACGCTTGCTATGTCTATTGTTAGTACGAGAGAAATCATATTTCTTGTGTGCTGTCAAGCTGTTAATATAAGAATGGATCTTGCTGTGGCTAGCGAAGTGTAAGGCGCAGTCAGGCTGCATGGTATCAGATTAAGTATCGAATAATTTTCTAAGTGTGCATGTAGAGGTGATAAATTCAGTACTCGTCTATAATTCAGAGCTGAATAAGATTAATTAAACGATTTGCTGAGCGTACGGATTGATGCGTAGAACAGGATCGTCTGTATACTTGCACATGTAAAGATGTTTTCTGGAAACCGCCTGATCATATGCTGTGCCATCGTATGCAACAAGGGTATCAAATATGATACACTTGTCCTTGAGTTTGAGTATAGATGATGTACAATCATTGGTCTCGAAATGATCAAACATCTCAAAATTAGTCAGATGGCATGCTTTGCTTATCGAAGTAAGAGACGATCTAGACTGTAAAGAAGCTACACCACGACTTCGAGTGAAACTTTACCCCAGAAAAAAGTGCTACCGAAATATCGGTATATGTGATTGAAAATCCAGTTTGCAACTTCATACGGACATACAATGCACAAATTCCCCATCAGCACTGGACAATGATTAGAAACACTGTACCGTATGTTGAAATTTCTGGATTCAAAGAAAGACTGCATTCGAGAAGATTGTACATGTTATGCAGCAATCAAGATAGTTGCCATACTGTCGATAGCTCATTGATGTTTTCTTGTGCGTATTTCTATTAAACACGATGCACGAAAAGTCCTAAGTTCAATATCGATTGCTAGTTCCTCAATTGTCAATTTACTCCGCAGAATTAGAAGACTAACTCGAAAGTTCGCATGAATTTGTTCAAGGTTTTTAAAATTGCTGGGTACATTTTGCTGTCTATAGTCGAGGTGGATTCGAAAGCTACTGTTTTTTTATTTAATTCGTATTCAACGTTTGTTTCGTAAGGAAAAACACACCAAGCTGCCACCATTATCGCAATCTGCTATATAATTTGTTTGAAGATACTGTACATTCTGGTTATTCTAAAGACGGGACGACAATCCAAGAGATGCTGGAACCAGAACTCGCCCAGAAATACGTTCTCTACCTGCAGAAGGTGTTGAATGTATTCAATGAGACCGAAAAATAGCGATGAACTCGCGTGAGCACTATCCTTGGGACATCAATGTTGAGTAGAAAATATGAACCGAAGTGAATATATTTAGGTCCTTAGTTGTGCTACCTCTAAGCCTGTCTTTCTAGATCCTTTTTAAAGCTTCTATAAGCATCCTGATATATCTATACCAATGCACGCCAACCATTATGTAATAACTTACTGTGACGTGCTCGTAAATATGGTGACGTCATCAGCCTGTTCAACATGCATTCAGCGGTGTAATCTTAACAATCAAAGGATAAAACCAGATGATTCCACTACCGAAACAGCAATAAACTTCCTGCTTTCAAACCTGTGTCACATTTTCATTCATAAATCTTTTTGGATTAAGTGAAAAGAAGACGTCAAATTCGCGACTTCGCGCAAATACAGTAGATTCGAAATAAATAAAGCACCGCTTGCAAGTCGATCTGTAAGTGCACAGGTGATCTGTACCCGTAGCATTCATTGTTCCAATTGTATTCGCTGCCAAGACAGGCAATAGACACAATAAAAGTTATTAACTCATGATAGCCAACGCTTATGACTTTGCTTCTTTGCGTCATAATGCACAAGACCAGTGAACTTGACAACGTAGCACATATTCCATTAGCCTTTTCTTTCTAATTGAAACTTTTTAAACATATTCGTACCCTCATATGCTTTCCATAAAGATAAACTCTACTTTCAATTTTGGGTGTTGAACTAACGACTGAATTGATTTTGGTCTTACTTGTCCAATTTTTCAAAAATCTCTCGGCTGTGGCTGTGTAAAAAGCCTTGTCGTAGATCGCAACTTTTCTATGGAATCAGAGCTTATTAACATCATGATTATTGCAGTTCGTAAGATTTTAACAACAGAAATTACAATGTACAATGGTACATCCAGATCGTGTGTCAAAAGCAAAGATTCATGAGCTCTTCGTCATCAAACAAGAGAAAACCAGGTACTCTACTCTTGCCACCTTTGCGTCGGACTTGAACTCACAATCCTTCATTGCCTTTATAATCTGTTCTGACGTCGTTATTTTGTGTTGAAGACCAGAATAACTATTTTCTTTATCGTCGGAATGCAAAATGAGTCGTCCGAACTCAGGATATCATTGTTGAAATCATCAAAGTCTGTAGAGCACAGATCTGGATGAAATTGTTTGTGACTACGATACAAATGATTATCAATAACGAAAGCTGTTGCAATTAAAAGTCGCTGCTGGATCCGGATTTTTATCTGGATGAAATTGAAGTACCAGCTTTCGATACGCCTTTTTTACTTCTTCCAGACTTGCTTTTCCTTTCAGCCCCAACGTACGATACGCTTAACGAATAGTCATGATACTGACAAAAGAAAGAAATAACTTCTGACAAAGGGAATGAAAAAGTTGATCAAAAAACAAATTACAAGATTAAAGGTTTTTCGATGAATTTAGAGTCTAGTGTGATCCATGGCTAATTATATATTCAGCCACATCCGTGAGCACTGAGACGTGAGACTTATAAAAGCGACTGGCAAGACACTCGACTGAGATCGTAATCTCGCAGTAACGTACTTTCCCTAAAGAATGCGAGAATGTGGCTGACTAATATGAACCAAGTTTAGTGTTATAGCTAATAATTATTACTTAAGGAAAGGGGGCGTAAAATTGATTATTTGTCTACATGAGTGACTCCTGAAGATGCCAACACATCCGCGTAACTTTTGCCATTTTTCCAGCTCAATGATCTTTCCAACTCCATTGATCATGGTCTGCACAAGCTCCACCTCCGACTTGCCGATTCGAGCCTTGTTCGAGATATTTCACATGCCACCAACAGCAGCCGAGTGTTCACCAGCAGATCCTCTTGGCTGCAGGCCATGAGGTGTGCACACTGCATTATGAGCATGCGGATCAGCGCCCAATTTCTCAAGTTAACAAACAAACTCGTACGCAATCCTGTACCCAAGTTCGATGGGCACGTACCGAAAAAAATAAGATGCTCGTTGTGCATGAAGATATATCTATTCGCCTTAATACTAGCCTCTACAGCTTCAACAGCTTTCACCCATCGGGCAAAGACTCCAACGATGCTTCCATCACTCTGCATTGAAATGACACGCATTTGATCTTCTTCGTTCCACCAAAACAAAAGCGTCTTTTGGTCATTGTGAAAATTACCACGTCTACTTGGCAGTCACGTGCAGCACCAGAACCTGTAAGCACGGTACCACCCACAGGCTTTTTGAACGAAAAACTTTCTAAGGTTGATCTTTCTCTTCTTTCGTCATGCTGCTCAACGGATAGTATTTTCCTTTTTACTTCATCTGTTAAGCTCGATTGTCCCTTTGCAACCTTCGAACGTTCCGAATGCGCTGTTCCAGGTGGCAAACTAAGATCACGAATGTTACGT